TGTGAGATTCACATCACTGCTGGCCAGCTTGAGGAACTGACAAGGAATGGAGAATAGTTGATCTGTGTACCATGAGCTGTAACCTAACACTGCTATAGTTGAAAATGTTTCTTAATCTCTCTCATTCGTAGAAAAATACAGTAAAAGAAAAGATAGTGCATGGCTTTTTTCCCCTTTATTCACGTTATAACAACAGTCATATAGTACATTCTAATTAGGATTTTGTCACACACTTCTCTGGTGGCACAAAACAGAGAAAGACCTCTCTGCTTGTTTTGCTGTCTGTAATGGATGCAACACTTAGTTATTATTTCAGGCTTTATTTAAAGTGTTTTACAAAACACTAGACAATATAAAGGCTTGAGTTCTTCATAACCCAACATGGATGAGTAATTTTTATATCAATGCTTCCCTTATAAGTTCTTCAATGTATAAGTACTTCAACATTTGCTGTGGTCTGAAACATAGCCTCTCTCTATTCAAAACACCTTTGGGTTTGAAAAATAATATTATTTTTGGTAAGTTAAAATATTCCAGCTTTAACTTTTGTTCTTAAAGTGCATGCAGAGGTAAATATTCTGTGGGTAACATCTTGCACATCCACTGCTAGTTTAAATATGAAGAAGGAACTTAGAACTTTTAATAAAACTAGATGGTCCTTTTTCCAGTTTCAAAAAGCATGCTAAACATTACTTAAAGAGAAACAACCTTATGCAAAGTAGTATTGCAGAATAAATTTAAATTACAGAAAAACAGACAAGCAATAGACAGTAGAAAGTACATTACCTGTCAACAAAACCAAAACACACAAGAATGTCCCCTCAATTACTCCAAATACCCATGGGTATTTTGTACACTTTCCTGTCTATGTTTTTTAAACCTATTATTTAATTTGTAGAGATATTTTTCTTCAGATCTTTCTAAAAGCCACTCCACCAGCAAATACTATATTTATGAGATAAGAGGAGATTGGCTGAATTAATACAGTTCAGCTAACACAGATGTGAAGAAGTTTACTATGTGGGAAAACCCTTTTGGTTCTACCTACTAGCATAACTTAGGAGGGGGAAGGTGAAAAATGAGGAGAAACAAATACTTTGAAAAAGCATTTTTGGGGGGAGCTGTATTAGCTAGGGGCCCAGCCCTTGCACCATAAACTTTTATGGAAGAGAAGAAAATTTGGCCCATATATTTTTCAGACATTTTGCAACTTAAGCATACTAGAACATTTTAAAACAAGCTTTAGATAGCAAGTCCTGAAAATTACTTACATTACTGATTTGAAATATACTTTACAGTTGAGAGCTTAAGAACCTTCTGTAAAGATGATTTTATCAACAACAGGTTGAACTATAACTAGGCAGGCAACAAGCTTGGGTAGGGGGGAGGGGAGCAGCAGCAGCAATCATTTAAAGAACAGAAATTCCTCTAAATGATTCAGAACAAACTGTACATACGCCCTGGCGGCATGGTCATCCTAAAAATCAACCAGGACACTTTGATCCCTAGAATTATCTTATTCATCCTCAATAACCATCAAAACCTCCTCTGTAATGGCAGCACCTTCCAGCTTTGGGCTGTCTACATATTTCATAAGGACATAGATGGTTCTCACACTGAAGTCACTAGTGAAAATGATAAGCAGGACAGGTCCCAAGATCACTCCCCGAGGAACAATACAAGTAATCTCTCTCCAAATTTACAACACTCCCGCTTCAGCATAATCCATTGCAGCTTCTTTCAGAGACTACCTCATATTATTAAATCTGTCTTCTCCAATGCAGCTAATAAATTTCCATTAGGCATAGTTCAAATGCTATGCTTAAGTATAGATAACTAGTCTTACTAGATTGCTCATCTAAAGTTTGTAACCCTATTATAGATATTAAATTGGTCTGACACAAACTTTGTTGGATAAAAGCACATTGTGTTTATCTGATTTTCTAATTATCATTATACTCTTCATTATTCTTTCCTTTAAAATATATTCTAAGATCTTGCATAATGCTGAAGTCAAATTAACAGGCCTGTAATTCATGGGGCCCCTCATTATCCTGGTTTAAATAAAGGCATGACATTTACTGCCCTCCAATCAAAAGAAGTATTTTCAGTCAAGCTGCCATTCTGAGAAGTGTGCTATAAGAATTGCTATTTTCACATGGCAGTTCTTTCAATATTCTGGTAATAATCAGGTCTTCCCACTTTTGTCACAGTAAGCAAGCAATATAAATTTTACTTCCATTTAAATGTGAACATTTCCATGACCATTCCTTTTTGTTTAGAGGCAAAGAATTCATTTAGTACTTAAGCCATAGCTGCATTATCTTCAAATTTTACTCCATCGTCATTTTAAGAAGAATGGGGCTGCTATACTTCTTTATTTTACATAGCTACCCAACTTTTTGCTGCCTTAATTTTTTTTCAAGGTTCAACCCTACTGAGTGAGTGAGTGGCCATTCTCACTTTATTTTAGTGTATAACCACCTCTGAAAGATCTCTCCTTAATCAATTTACTTGCTTTTAAAAGATATTTTGTTCTCTAACTGAAAACAACCTTCAATCTTTGTTCAGAAGGGCATGGTATAAATCTAATAAACAAACAAATAATCCTCTCTCCCATTCTTTGTAGATACTGATGTTAACATCCCATTTAAGGTGCTTACTCATTCAACCATATCTATACCCCTTTACTACCAACTTTTTCCTCATTTGGAATGCAAGCACCAGACATCTACACATCAGACTTAAAATAATGCTTCTTCATTTAAAACCTTGAGCTCCTGCATCCTGTTGATCTTCACGACTGTCCAGTTTGCCTTTCTAATTTTCAATACCCTAGTTGTAGACCTATTCTAATTAGTCCTGCAAGTTAGGTTGAATATAACTCTCTCTTCCTTAAGCACTGGTTTTCATTGGTCACTTGAAACCAATAATTGTATCTTATTAAAAAAAGTTGTACTCCACTGTTATATATAATTATATATCTTATACAACACAGCTTCCATTATATCACATTATGCAAGTTAAAGCCTCTCATAACCATATTACTATCTTCTCTACTATATTCATATCCAAGTCTAGAACCTGGGACGCTACAACAAATATACAACACAATCTCATTCTTTTATTTGTTGGTTTATGAGCGCAAGGAAATGAGGAGCAAATTTGAAAACAACCTTGAAATTAAGCATGGCTGTAGCAATTTGCATATAGTACCCATGCATTAGTTCATCCAGAATTGATGCATGTTACCTTTTTTGAAACTGCTGCAAGTTTTGGCATAGGTACTCCAAAACCACACTTTTGAGCAGCACTTTGGCACCTACCTGTATATAATATAAAACATTCATGATATTAGTCCAAAGCCAAAAGGCTCATGATTTACCACATAAATCATGGTAACAGAATCAGAGAGTTTCAAGCCCCACAGCTCAGCACTGGTCAGTATGTGTGTGTACTCTGGATACTCCCCACAAAGGATCCATGTTCTAAATTAGCCCCACTCATGACTGGAACCAGGTGTTCTTGTCACAAGTCCTGGGATGCTCCAAAAATGTATATGCAGATGAGGCACAGGGTAAGCTAGTCTGACTTCACCTCATGGAAGGTGGGACCACACTAATCATATGTGCCAAACTGAGATAGGGGGTGACAGAGGGATTCTGGGTGAGCTGTATGAAATACAGTGGCTCATCATGACTTGAAAAAGACAGAAATGAGAGGGACCACACCTAATGGGCACTGCCATATGTCTTCTTCAGATGGGCTATGTTAATCTACTCTTGTGGTAGGTTTCAATCAGCAACTTTACCCAGTGTGGGCCATGCACTTTACAGTCATGCTCAGTGTTAGCTGCATTTAATCAACTTCATACTTGGTTTCCCCTGCTGAACACATGCTGCTTTTGGCAGTAATTTAAAGATAGGCAATGTATTTACTTAGGTTTCCTTGTATGTGTTAATAAGATGAGAGGCTTTTTTTCTCATGCCAATCAAGGTAAAAATCTTATCTTGTATTCAAGTAAATATGGTACTTTATTCTTTTTATTCCTCTCTTTAGACTAGCTGCTCCTCTGTTCTTCCATGCAATCCTAATGTCTGATCTTGTACATTTCTCCCCATCATGCTCAAATAAAAGCAAACAATTAATAAAAAGCTTCCTTAGTAAGCTGAGTAGATCATGAAATGAAGTAAGAGAATACCATAACAGGTCTAGAGATGAAATTAAACCTCTGGCTTTGCTGGGACTAATATGTGCCATATACCAGTGAAGTGAAGCAGAACCAAAAAGCTAATAGATTATAAAGATTGTTTCAATGCAAGTACTATGTCAACAGCAGTCTTATTAAAAAAAGAGGTCATTTCATTGATCATTTTACTGCAACAGTTTCTGAAGAAGTGCGAAGTTCCAAAAAACTGTTTTGGTGACATAGATATAAAAAAACTCTAGAACTAGGTAAAGGTGGTTTGATTGATTTAATTAGTTATAATTTAGACACCAATGCAATGCTAAAGGCAGCACGTCAGCCAATGAATGAAAAAAAATTGGCAGCTTCTTTTCTGTGCATAGTCACATAAAGGCCATAAACATGCAATGTTGTATCACCACCCACCAGCATCTACCACATTAACAGTAGAAGGCTCTGCTGTAGCTTCTAAAGTTACACGCAATTAAAAAATGAGTATTTTGAAATCCAGTGGAAGTTTCTGAATAATGCAATTCTAGTTTTAATTTCACAAACTCAGCCATCTTTTAAATTCAACAGTTAACTCTGATATTTATTACGGATGTTCTCAAAATAAAAAGGGGATGGAAGGAGGA